TTTGCCTTCAGACCTGGGCTCCTGGCCAGCAGCTGCCACTTGCCAGCTGCCCAGCTCTGAAGGCCGTGTAGCAGAACTGCAACCCCCTCCCTCCTGATAACTTTGCAACCCCCCACAACTCCTTTCTGAGTCAGAACCCCTCCGATTACAAGACTGACATTTCAGATTTAATTAGCTGAAATCATGAAATGTATTGTTTTAAAAATCCTATGACTGTGAAATTGACCAAAGTGGCCCGTGAATTTGGTAGGATCCTACTTATTAGGGGATACTTCTGTGCTATTCAAAAGTACCAGGCTGTATAGCATAGCACCCAAAATACTACTAGCAGAGGGAATATACCCTTCGATACTCAAATGGGAGAAGTGTCATCTGAAGGGAGTCTAATCTGGTAACAAAAACTACGAGGGCACATTAGAGTACTAGCTGCAAAGACTCAGTAATGCAATAGCAGCAAGTAGCAATTCCTGGGGCTGCTGCAGTATAATGTAATATACCAAGATGTGCCAGTACCAGCCTAAAACTCCTGGGCTGGGAGGAGCAGCTGCAGTATCAGCTGAAAGTACTGAGGGAGCTAACACTGCCCCAGCTGTAAATTGAGAGTAATTCTTCCATTCTCCCTGCTTTTGTCTGTGAGGCTGTTGAGCTCTTGGGGACAGGGACTGTCTCTGACTGTGCATCCGTGCTGCAACTGGGCCCCTGCATGCCACCAAGTAGGTATTTTGGCACTACCATAATGACCTCTCCCAGCAGGGAGTGCTGGCTGCGGGGAGCAGCTCCTGGTTGCTCCATTAAGGACATGGGAAAGCCAGGAAGGAGGGGGAGCTGTTCCCCAAGGCTGGGGCAGCTGAGAAATTGAATTATGAAAGGCATTGATTAGGACTGTGGATTGCAGAGGCAGATAAGAGCTGTCTGGTATTAGCCAGGCAGGTAAACACCAGCCACTGCCTCCCCTATAAGCGGATTAGACACAGAAATCAGACGTGACCTTTAATCTGCACCCTGCCAATGTGCTCACCTGGCTCTGGGAGTGGGAGCAGGTGGCTCTGAGTCAGGACTCCTGGGTTCTCTCAGGGTGCGTCTACACTGCACTGGAGCGCGAATTAAGTTAGGCGCAATGTGAGCTACACAAATCGCGTGTCTGATTTCAAAATAGCTTCATTCATAATTTGGCGCTGTCTACACAGTGCCAACTTTCAAAGTAACCCGCTGTTCCAAAATGTCCCTTACTCCTTGTGGAATGAGGTTTACAGGGAGGTCAGAATAGCGAGCTGTGAAGACACAGGATAGCTATTTCAGGATACTCTGGTATCCTGAAATAGCGTTGCAGTGTAGATGTAGCCTCAGTGGCCCTGGCTGATGATGCTGTCCCAGGGAAGCCAAACAGTGCCAACTGAGACTCCTGCCTCATTGCTCCCCAATCTCAGAGGGTATGTCTACACAGCAGAGTTATTTTGGAATAACTGGTGTTATTCTGAAATAACATAGTCCGCATCTACACTACAAGCAGTTATTTCAACATAATGTCGAGCTGGAAGACTTATTACTCTGGGAGTACGTTTACACTGCAACACTATTTTGAAATAACTAGCGCTATTCCAAAATAACGTAACTGCCTGCTGTGTAGATGCAGACTATTTCAAAATAGTGTCAAAATATTGTAAAGCTGGAGGTACTCTTACTCCAACTCCTGTAACCATCAGGCTGTGTCTAGACTGCATCCCTTTTCCGTAAAAGGGATGCAAATTAGACATATCGCAATTGCAAATGAAGCGGGGATTTAAATCCCCCCCACACTTCATTAGCATAAAAATGGCTGCTGCTTTTTTCCGGCTCGGAACTTTGCTGGAAAAAAGCGCCAGTCTAGACGCGGATCTTTTGGAAAATAGAGCCTTTTCCAAAAGATCCCTTATCCCTTAAAATGAGGGATAAGGGATCTTTCGGAAAAGGCTTTATTTTCCGAAAGATCTGTGTCTAGATTGGTGCTTTTTTCCCGCAAAGCTCCGAGCTGGAAAAAAGCAGCAGCCATTTTTATGCTAATGAAGTGGGGGGGATTTAAATCCCCGCTTCATTTGCAATTGCGATATGTCTAATTTGCATCCCTTTTACGGAAAAGGGATGCAGTCTAGACACAGCCGCATTGTATGAGGAATAAGGGAAGCTGGAGGAAGAGTGCTCTACCTCAGACCTCCTGCTGTGTAGACAGTGCCAAAAGCCGAAATAAGCTATTTCAACTTAAGCTACACAATTGACATAGGTCAAGTTGCGTAGCTTATTTCAGCTTTAGCTCTGCTGTGTAGACTGACCTAGGCTATGTGGACACTACAGGGCTTTATTGGAAAAAGACACGCAATTTGCACACCTTTTTCAGATAGGTCTTTTTTTTTTTTTTTTTTTTGGAAGATGCTTTTCCAAAATTTGGCCCAGCTACACTGGGCCAAATTTTGGAAAAACCCCTCTTTTGGAAGAGCCCTTCTTCCTCTTGGGAGAAGGAAGACAGGGCTTCCGAAAGTGTGTGTCTGCTCTTCCGCAACAAAAAGCATTCCCCGTATGCAGCCTAGTTTTTCCAGGCTGAAGTGGCTGGGTTATAGCCCAGCTCTGGGGGAATAGTGGGCCCTACTGGGTTAGAGTGCAGAGGTGAAGCTGGGATCTTTTTTTTTTTTTTCTCTTTCATGGTTTGGACTCTTTTGGGATCACTTTGCTGGGTTTCTCTCCAGCCCTGCGGCTAGGACCTTATGTATTTTTTTTAAACCAAACCTGAGACTCTTCTTATTACATGACTCCAGCAGCTGGGAGCCT